TTTTTTTCAACGGAGTTAATTTCACTCATGTGCTGCTACGCAGCACATGGAGTGACATTAACTCCGACAAAAAAAAAATTGCCTGTTATTTTTTGTCGTCTGTCCAATAATGTACACTTATAGATATCCGTATATACAATGAAGTTATTCGACCCTCAGGATTGTTTAATCACAAATATAGGCCGAATATTATAGTATTAATATAACTATAATTTAATCATAATATATATTATAAGAAAGTAAAATTTTACTTTCCTTGATTCAATCTAACGAAAAAACTAATAATAAACACGAGAAAGACACGAAACTTGGTTGATCATAAACCCGTATTTATTGAATTTTCGCACCCTGGATTCTGTATGCAGGGGACGTCTAAATTAGGGATGCGAGTTTGTATAATACCAGTATTATACACAGATATAATACCAATAACTCTTATGATAATAGATGTATTTCTGTTTGTTATTTTTTCACGTGTTACAATGTTTTACTAAACACACCCCTAAAAAGGGGGTAATTCGTATATTGATCTACATGCTGCATAAGTTGTATTATTGATATTTATATAAACCGCTAACCATAACTGCACCAAAAAGGTAACCTAACACGCGTCCCCTAATTTGTACTGTGTTTGTTTGGACGTGTCAATATATAAGGTTCGGTTTTTTTTTTTTATCCACTTTACTTTTTCAACATTTTAGTTTGTCTTGTGTTGTATCATTGTTTTTTTTGGTGTTTTTACAAAGATTTCTTCGACATTCTTGTGGAGTGCTTTTTATAGCCTGCCAACACAGGACTTTCAAGAGCTAGTTGAGAAGTTTTATCACAATCGAAAGAATTGGCGACATGATAATTTTGGGAACGTAACTAATAATGATAGAGGAAAATCCTTTTATATCTTCATACGAGATATATGCAGACACATGTAAGAGTTTTTTTATTTTTGTTTACTATATTTCATTCTTTTAGTTTAATTTTATTTTTATAATAACATTTAATTTATTATAGATTTCAAATATAGGAATGCAGCGTGGAAAAAGATTATTGTTCTGAAGATATGTGAGGTTGCCTTATAATTGACCTCATTATAAAACTCATTATGGACTTGGATTTAGAAAATAGCCAGAAAGTTTGGCAATGGTATATATATTTTATTTTTAGTGCAGAATTAATAATAAGTTAAAATTTTGCCATATTTATTTTTAAACTTATTAGAAAAGGCTTTGGATTATTGGTTTCAGCTTATAGAAAGGATGCTAACACCAATAAACTCGATTTCTGGACATTTTTAAAGATCGCAGAAACTATACAAGAAATTTTATATGAAGAAATTTCTGGATCCCCTTTCGTGAACGACAAGAAAAAGTTCAGATTGGACTTGCTCAAATTGTTTCGTTTCGGCCACGATTCAGAAAATAATACGATTATCCTTTGATCGTATTACAGAAGCTATTTTAGAAGTTAGAGACTTTGTAGACATTTTAAACTTTTGTACTGAAAGAGGTGACACTAGAAAGAAAAGATGTAGATAAAATTGATAGAATCGAATACTGAGTTCTTGGAAGATCGGGATGCGATATTCAAACAACTTTGCGAGGTTGAACTTTTTTTAATGCAGGCATATGGTAACAAATATCATTTTATTTATTTATTTATTTAGGGTTTTTTTTTTATTTTATTTTTTTTAAACATATTGATTAGTTTATTTAAATAGCAACGAATTTGCGTTTTTGTATAATGGATCAACCCGGACCACTGTTTTGTCGAGTACGCAAAGTGTACAACATTCCATTCCGTATGAATTACCAGTGGATAAAGTAACTATAATATACTTTATAAATAATCTCTGGAAAACGCACATGGGATTTAATCCAAAAATCTATTACTTATAAGAGATTTTCCTACTTTTCTGACTCCCTAATAAAACAACTATGGGACAGTTGTCATGGGAAAATTTTGTCATCCGACAAAATCGACTACGTGAATTACGACGAACGATTACTTTATTTTTTTCTTGAATTCAATGAACGATTAGCATCTATCACTTAATTTTCACAATGTATTACTTCATAGTTGGTAAGATAACTCTTGGATTATTTAATGTATAATGTGGAAATAATTGCGAAGTGTAATGGAAGGGAATGTATTTAAAAAGACAATTCTCACTGAGAGGGAAGATAGAACAATTTTGTATAAAATTTGTGATTGTAAATAAATAACAGATTGTTACAACATTTAATAAAATACTCTCCCGCATAATTTATGCTGCGTCCAAAGCTAAATTGCTAAACACAATTATCGCTCTCTAAATTTTGGGCGTAACACATTGCATTATACAGACATAATATTACATGCACTCTTATCTGCAACTTAATATTTTATATAACTGCCTTCTGTGCGCTAACTATCACATCAATCTAGTCTTAACCCTAACAATAACGATAATGCAGTTTTCTTAAATTTAGCATGCAACTTTTTACTTATCATAAACACGTTTGTTTTGGCTATCACGCTACACCTAATATTAAATT